TATGTGATACATGGAGTTTTATGGTGGGAAATGAATGTGGTGAAGATGGTGTTATGGTAAATGTACATGGGGACAATGGAGAAGGGAAAGTGAGCATTATTGCAGTGACTGTTATTGACTGTCACACTCATCCTGTAATGCACATGGCTGAAGCCACGCTTTATGTGTCTGGGAGCGACCATGTGCGAGCGCGCGGGATAAAGATAATTATAACGATAAATGCAGTGTCGACAGCTGTTGATCAAACACACAGCCGCTTGGTGCGTAATTTATTAAAAATTTTATGTGCGAACACCAAATTACACACCTCTGTTCATCTTGACTTATTATTGTCTACTTGCGAATGGGTTTACGTCGCAATTGTGCCTAAATTGTTCCTGTGTATGCATTTTTGCAGAGACGCGCCTACCCTCGCCCAAAAGACCGAGTGAAGACATGCCTGTACAGGCGCTTTGCGAGCGGCGCCTTACATTTCATTGGAATTCACGCTGGCGTAAATCCCTGGACGTGTTGTTTTCCTTCTGACGCACATCCAATTGTAAGAATGCAGCTTCCAAAAGGATCGTTTTCCCGCACCTGGACAATTTCTCTATCGCAGTGGATTTAATACTGGAACGCAGCGTACCCTTCGCAAACATGCGACCTTGAGGAGAGCTTTCGAAATGCCTGGATTCAAAGATGTGTCTGTCAGAACGCCGTTTATTTCCAGAATGGGGTGGGGAGGGGGTGGGTGTGCAGGGGCACTCGTGCCTTTCACTCGTGCCCTATTTTGCAATGATCGTCAGTGTTGTTCACACAAGATGCCATAATCGTTCCATTGATTGGAAAGACGGTCAATATTTAATACCAATGGATTGGCTTGACGTTCTGAGCACCAGATATACACGTACAAAACAGCACGCATACAATCAATATTTCCTGTGATTTGCGATCTTCAAGGGTCTCGCGGAGAGTCAAAATTCACATATCTTACATTTTGAACGAATTTTAAAATGGTCAATGATTTTACTTTCTGAGCGCCTGAATTACTGCAAGATCGCTCAAGGCCTGAATATTTCCGCCAACACTAGGAAAGAAAGGGCCAAATGACACATTTGCGAACAGATATAAAACACATTTCATTAACGTTCTGCACGCTGAGAACACAAAAATAACACAAACCCGTAAACTTTGTACACGTTTGAACACGTGTTATATGGCCCAGTTTTCCCAGTGCAACAGAGCGGCAGCACCCAGACAGATGCAGGAGCGCAATGCTTTTAACGAAACCTTACACCCCGTTCAAGTTGACAATCGAAGTTCACCTTTACTGCTCCTTCTTTATTCCCAACCCATGTAGATTAGGAGTAGCACATACAGTCTGGATGCTCCCGCACCGTATACCCCTCCGCATTGTAGCGTAGCGATTGGCTGTTCTTTCGGAGCTGAAAGCGAAACGCAATTCTCCGACTAGAATGCTCAGCAGCCAGTACAGTAACGCCCAGGCCGGCTTCAAGAGGAGCTGGGCTCGCCACTACCCGCAGCGCCGTTGGGCTCCCGTGCTGCGCTCAAAAGCCGTCTGGAAATCACCCCTGCCGCGGCCAACCTGTCCCAGCCGCGACGCGAGGGTCCCTGGACTGCTCGCGGCTTCTGGCGGCCCCGGATGGCCACAACGCGATGGGCGTTGGCGTTAGTGCAAGCGGACGACAAAATGAAGCGGCTAAAAGCTTGGTGGACCTCCGGGTTGGGCCGCAGGGCGCACGCACATAGAAGGCTGTGGACTGGCCAGCCGCAACAAAATTTTGGTCAGCAGGTTAGGTACCCAACCCTTCGCCAGCGGGACGCGATGGGAGGCGGAAGAAAAGCAACTAATGCTGCGAAAAACCAACGCCAAGCAAAATCATGTTTCTGGAATCTTTTGTTGCGGAAGGGCATAACATACTACTGCATTACATTTTCAATGAGATCCGGCGTGTTTGTGCAAATGGGCGACAACGAGCTGAAGTGAGTGAGTACTGCAGCAGGAAAATGCGCTTCCTCCGGACTGGGGCCACTTGGCCCCCCACGCCTTGGACAGGATCAAAGAGGCACTGGCGGACCACGAGGAGGCAGTGTTCCTTCGGTGCGCTCGCCTCGTGAACCGCCACTGGCGCCAGTGGGCGACCCAGGCAACTGCGCACCTCACTGTGAAGGCCTGGAGGTGCGAGAAGGGCAAAGTCGAGTGCCTGGTCGGGCATTTCACTTCCCTGGAGAGTTTGACGCTGGAGGGCGTCGAGGACTCGGGCCTGCCGCACCTCGAGCGGCTGCCGCGCCTGAGGCACCTGTCGGTGCAGTATGGGGGCGGCATCAGCGACGAAGGCGTGGGGCACTTTGGACGACTGACGAGTCTCGTCACCTTGAAGATCAGCCGGAGAATTGCGGACGCGCAGATGAAGGTGCTCGCCGCTCTGAGCCGCCTGAGGAGCTTCGAGCTGGACTACTGCCCGGAGCTCACGAGGGATTTTGTGGCGAGCCTGGAAGGGCTGGGTGACCTCAAGGAGCTGGACATCAAGTGCTGCCTTTCGGACTCGAGCGTGGGGTGCTTGGCGGGGATGGAAGGAGCCGCGAATGTGGCGCTGGGCCTGGTGAAAGACCAGAACGCCAGACTCACGGATCGAGGGCTGAAGACGTTGGGGAAGGTGACGAGGCTGGTGGCGCTCGATTTCGGGTACTGCAGCGGCGTCACGGACGAGGGTCTGGCCAGCCTCTGCGGCCTTTCGAATTTGGCCAAGCTGTGCATGCCGGAACGCGCGTCCGATGAGGGACTGCTGGTGTTGAGGCACCTGAGAGGCCTTCGCCATCTCACGCTGCGCCTCTGTCGGCGGGTCACGAGCGAAGGACTGAAGGTGTTGAAAGAGCTGCCGGCGTTGGGCAGGCTGAGACTGGACACGTGCAAGAGAGTTTCCAACAGTGGGGTCAAGGTGATTGGGGAGTTGAAAAGCCTCGTGGACCTGGCCGTGTCTGGGAGTGCAAGGATAGAGGACCGAGGGGTAGGCTACCTGTGGAGGCTGACGGCTCTGACGGCGCTGCGTTTGGCCGCGCTGGATGGGGTGACGGACAAGGGGGTGGGGCTCTTGAGAAGGTTGACGACGCTGAAGGCTCTGGAACTGAGTTCCTGTAAGAATGTGACGAGCGATGGGGTGGCCAGCATCTCCGCGCTGACGCGCCTCACGTCGCTGAATTTGAGCGAATGCCAGAACATCGCATATGCCGGCGTGAGGAAGCTGAAGACCTTGACGGCTCTGAGGGAGTTGGATTTGAGTTGGTGTCCAGGGATCTCGTGCGAGTGCATGGTGACGTTCGGTAAGCTGCGCTCCCTCGTCGTCCTGAGATTGGTGGGGTGCCACAAATTGACCAACCTGGGGGTCATGTGCCTGTCGCATTTGAGGTATCTCAGAGTTCTCAAGCTGGATTGCTGCCCTTTGGTAACGTACGGCATTGAGGACGTCACCCGGCAGTGGCGATAGCGCATCAAAGCCCCACAGAGTGTTATTGGTCGGATGGGATTCTTGGAAGTGCCGCCGGGTTTTGAGGTTTGGAAGACTGGCTTCAATTCGCGCATTGGCACTGAGCTTGGGGATGAGGACAAAGTTTTCCGTGAATCTTTGGGTGTCCCACAGAGGTTTGAGTATTGGGGAATGAACCCAAAGGGAACATTGTAATCTAGCAATCGGCGTGCGTGTCGCGTTTATCAGGGGCCAGCGCCGTCCCATAGTTCTCTCTTTGGATGTGATCGACCCCATCCGATGTGAACGAGGGAGGCAGCCATCCCGTTCGATAGTGCAGGTTGCTGTCCCATGCGCTCAAAGCAGCAAATTCATATCCAATTTCAATTATCAAATTTAGAATATCGAAATTAGGAAGTATTTCCTGCTGAGATCAATGGAAATGCGCGCATCGCATGTCATGTCTCGAATATGCCGGTGTGCTTCAGTCCATCAACCAGTCAGTGAGGCACACGATCGACATCGATTGCAAGGCTGGACGAGGCAGGCGCTCGGCCCCTTGTGCGGCTGCGTCTAGACCAGCCACGAGATCCACTTTTCAGGTTACCATCACGGGTGGCAATATGGGCAATGGCAGGAAAGCATACCCACCCCACCGGCCACGACCCACGAGCCGTCTTCTGATAGAGCCGATACCGCCGCTTTGGACTGCTGATCTTGAGGGGAGAACAGTCCAACCATCCCACAGATGTTGCACACGCAGGCTCTTTATGATCCGTACACAGCACACATGTTTCAGATTGGCTTCATGCATCGTGCAGTCTCTGATGCACGGATTTTAGCAGATTGTCTTGGGCCGGAAACGTGATAACTGCGCTGTGCTGGAGCCTATGCATTGCTGTTTCACAGTGACAGCATGGCACATGTGCCGCCCAGAGTCCACCAACTGCACCATGATTCTGCCCTCCTACAAAGCTCGTGCTGTAGCCAAATCACCCTCCTGGATCACCTTTCCAACTTAGCCACGGCACACCATCAACCTAACCTGGCATGTTGCTCCACATGACAAACTAAAGGTCTGCTTTTCAGCCCATCACCATACAGTCGCATTCGTCCTCCGCTAGGTAACAATCTTTCAATGTCCATTGGCCCATCCATTCGCATCTATCGCACAAGCAACGGAGCACTGCTGCTCCCCGGGTCGTTGCCACCAGCTGTGTCCACTGCTTGTCTGCTCGTTTTCACAACCTATCTTCGTTTCGTTGTTCTCCAGCCTCGCGCCCCAATGTCAAGGCTCCATGCAGGCATATGCCAATGGGATACGAACGTATCCTCTCGACCCTTTCAGGGTTCCGATTTTGAACTTGTTGCAACCCCTGGCCGCCTTCCCCTGCTTTTTACAACTCCCCAAAGTTCCCATCCGCTGCCATGGCGTTGTTTCAAAGTTCATGCACTGCAGCCACTTCACCACGGCAAAGAACGTGGCCAAATTTGTGGACAGCAGACGATCACATGCAGTGAGTCTCTAATGCAAAGCTATCGCCTGGTGCCTCTCACAACGGTCGCGGCGCCTGCTGCAACCAGCGCAACCACAGAGATCTTGGCGATAAAGGTGACGGCCTGACGGAAGCGGCCAGGGCTGCCATCGATGCCATTGCCTTCATCCGATTGACTAGCCTTCCGGATGAGAGGTTCTGAAATGTAGCTGTAGAAATTGTCCCAGATCCTGTTTTGGCTCGTCACCAGTCCCTCCCACCCCTTCTTGGCAGCCTGCCAGGATGAACAAAGCCTCATGAAGTGGAGTCACTGTCCATTGACAACAGTCAGTATGCACATGCTGAGCCTCTACGATATGTTTTGATCAGCAACATCATTGTCGTGCACACTGTCCTGCAATGTTGTGCATGGATGAAAGACATCATGCCACTTCTATTCGAGGAGTGGGGTGGGTGGGTAGTGGGTTGGGGGCAGAATGACACTCTCAAAGCTATTTGATGCTATGGAATATAGGACAAAGGTGGGTGCACCTCTTCGAATTTCTCCTCAGCCACGGCATAGTGCCCCACGTCCAGGCCCAACATCACGCCAGCATTGAAGTCCCGCCACCCCTGCTCTCGCACGTGCACGATCATCCGCATCGTGGACTCCTGCACTGAACAGCCCAGCAGGAACAGGCCTGGCAGATTGGGGTGGGTGTACCTGGGGTGACCATGAAATGGAATCAATTCTTGAGTCACCTGCAGGTTAAAGATATGCAATCTTTCAGCAATCTTCCTTGTCAACGAGTGGCAAGGGCCCAGACCGTGCGCATTTTGGGCAATGATCAGCATAACCTTTAATATATATCACAAGCTGTCCAAAACACTACTTCCATAATAACCAACTGAATCCCAAAATGAAGACTCCAAATGCACTTCGTCAAAGCCTTCCTTGCTATCCTCTCCTTGCTATCCTTGTCGCTTAAGACTGATCTCTTCCTTGCTGTCGACGGCACCAAAGAACCGCCCCCATTCCCTCCATGAAGGTCAGTCCATCAGCTACGATCCCAACTTGGGTTCTGTACACAGCACAAGGTACCTGGGAAATGTGGCTGCAGCCCAACCAAACCACCGGTTGACTTTGCCTAGACAATGACATCAATCTATTGGCTACATGGTCAACGATTGACAAGGCATTGCCCTTGCACCCGCAAAGCAGATGGGAGATTTCCATTCATAATGACACTATCTTTGCTCACTTCGTCTCAATGCTGTCAACCAAACTTGCAACGGCCGATTTCCACTGCTGGCACAAATATTGAGGCACAGATATCCCTGCAAGCTGTGAAATGTCAAGCAAACATTCACCATGTTCCCCAGGCCACCATAAGCCAAGCTGCCGATCTTTCCTTTTCAATGATCCAGATTGTTGTCCCTTGGTTACATTTGGTGATGTCGAAAAATCATACCCAGGCACAAAATGCACACTCTGTTTCTTCACCCTCTGAGTATAACAGACACCATGACCTATGTTGTTGCATCATAATTTTGAGGAATCTTGTTTGACTTATCCCTAGACACCAGAAAAGGTACTCGAGGACATCAATTATGTGTTATTCCAAAGTGCTCCAATATGTCAGCATCACCGCCACACCGGCACGAAGCACTGTATGTTTCAATGGTCCCAAGGCTTCGCGGATTGATGACAGTGAATACGCTGAGGGAAAGGACTGCATCCTGAATTTGAAACGAATAGAGGCAAGGGCAGGTCATCTCCCATTGGGTTCTGCCCTTCCTTCCAAGCCATCGTCAAAGCTCGCGATGGTGGCGATCTCATAGTGTCAAGGCAACAAGCCCCAGGACTTGGCATTTCGTACATCAACAACCTCAGGCTGCAAAATCACTTTTTCCCCAATTCGTCCCGCCCTTGTCGATCGCCAACCTAATCCAAAGCTCTTACATCTTCAGCCCGTGGCTCGTAGGCCCTCAACACTCACGTGACCATTGGCAGCCAGAGCCCATACAATTCTACGATGCTGGCTTGCGGGGAAATGAACAAACTGAGATCAAACTTCCAATGCATACGCCACCGTCGCCCACAGCCTGCAAGAGCCCTGCCTTGTCCTGCACCGCGCAGTCCGAAAACGCACTTCACGATTCTGGCCACCGGCGAGGCGAATAAGCGGGGGGCAAACGAACAAAGGAGGGGCTCAGACACGCATATCCTCGTCCGTCCACCTCTACAGCGCACAAGAACCCTGCTTGGGCACAATCAGACCCAAAAGACGCGCCCAGCCGCTCGTTCTCTCCACCAATTTCCACCTACTCCACCATTCCACCTCGTTCCGCCTATCCCACCTGAAGTACCACTCAGGCGTGGACGCCGCCATCTCGAGCCACCGCTCTGGCGGTGCGTAGCGCCTCCGCCTTCCCGCAAGCGCTGCCATCCACCCCAGCGGGCCGCCGGGCTCCTCCTTTCCCGCCCTCCTGAATCCTGACCACACCATCATGCAGTGCAGGCTGAGCGCCACTACCGCGCAGCGGCGCCGGCAGACAGGCAGCGAGTCGTCGATCGAGGATGGGCCCGCGGGCAGGGCGCGGGCAAGGAGGTCGGTCAGGGGGCCGGGGCCGGGGCCGGCCATCCTGGGGGCGCTGGGCTGGGCGGGAGGGCGGTGTGGAGTGGTGGGGTGTGCGGGGCGGGGGGGTGTTCCGGACGCGGGACAAGAGGACGATCATGGTGACAGAGACGAGGACCCAGTATATCCACACTTTGAACCCTAAAAAGCCACACAACCCTAGCCCGTCTCCGTCTCAGTCACCTTCTCCGTACCGACGATTTGGCGATTTTCTGGGTACCCCGCCGGAACCGCGTACCTTGATGATTGGCCACATTATGGTAACTGGATTATGGGGGAGTCTACAAGCGCTGGAGTGTTTGGTAACTGATTGTGTAGATTATGAGACGTATCCTGCCCATGCGAAGATGCCGTAACAACTTTGATGACATGCGGCGCCCCTGTGAAAGCGTGCTGGAAGTACTGATGATGCCGAGTGCCTTTGTGAGAACGAACCGGAAGCCCTAATGACAGAAGGTGACTCGTGATGAGGGTATGTTGTGAACCTGATGTGGTGACACCCCACACGGCCGCTGATAGATGCCGAGGGGACGAGCTGGAGCATTAGATAAGCGGCAGATGAGTAGAAGACCTCCCAATCCTTGGAGATAAAGCAGGGAACTTTGGAGATGCGCCACACCGTCGGAAATACCCCAGGGCGACGGCTGGACACGCCCGGCTTACCATGGGAGCGTCAGAGGCGAGTTCCGGCGTACTTAAGAGGCCGAAGCCTGGTGGGTGTTGCACCCACTTGAAGTATAGTACTTTGTGAGGACTAACTTAGGCGGGTAAGGCACCCTGTAACCTGGTAACTCGGAACAGTACTCAGGGCGGAGCAGCTGGTATTGAGGGCCTTGGGTAACGCACCCCGCGGCTTGGAAGAGGGTAAGGCACCATAGGTAATTCGGGCTAGTACTTAGTACGGGGCGCTGGTATTGAGGGCCTTGGTGACGCACCCAGCGGCTTGGAAAAGGGTAAGGTACCCTGGGTAACTCGGGTTAGTACTTTAGTGGGCGATAGTTGTATTGTGGAGCTTGGGTAACGCACCCGGCGGCTTAGGCAGGGTAAGGAACCATGGGTAACGCAGGCTAGTACATAGACCGGAGAGGCCGGTGTGTTAAGACGCGGGTAGCGCACCCAAGGGAAAGGTACAGTGGTACCTTGTACGGATTTGACGGGACCTTTCAGAGAACCCTGGTAACGGTGCCGCACCAGCGGCTTGGGTATTCAAAGACACACGGCTCTGCTTGTAACGAAGAGCTGCGATTTTTGGGCCCACCTCGCTGTTCTGTCTGTATCTTTCGGGGATTGTACCCCATTGAGTGGAGAACATGCCGCACTGACAGACGCCCATTGTGGGTGCACCTCGCCATCGAGTTCAGCTCGACCGGGCGAGCGTCCATTTTCGTGCGTGACCGGTCCGTTGCCGGAAGCTTCGCCATCTGGACGCCATTTCCGCGGTGGTTCGTGGCTCGACGCCACAACAAACCCTAAAACATTAGAAAACTAACCCAACCCCCCAAAATCCCCTAAAAGCCCAAAAATCAAACCTAACCCTAAAAACCCTAACGCCCCTAAAAGCCCAAAAAACTTTAAATATATAAAAACACAAAAAACAAATGCAAACGAGCGGACAAGTGGAAAAGCTGGCAGCATAGACTGCCATTGCTTGCCGCATGTGCAATAGATGCAAATGAATGAGCAAACGGGCTTGAAAGATTGTTACCTAGCGCACTACGAATGCGACTGTGTGGTGATGGGCTGAAAAGCGGACCTTTAGTTTGTCATGTGGGGAAGCATGCCGGGCTAGGTGGATGTTGTGTTGTGGCTTTGATTGATGGGTGGTACAGGAGGGTGATTGGCTGCAGCACGAACTTCACAGGAGGCCAGAGTCATGGCGCAGTTGGTGGACTCTGGGCGGCACATGTGCCATGATGCGATTGCAAAGCGGCAAAGTGTTGGCTCCAGCACAGCTCAGTTGTCCACGTTTTCAGCCCACGCCAACGTACTGAAAACCATCTATTGGAGACCACACGATGCATGAAATCAAGTCTGAACAATATGTCTCATGTACGCATCGTGAACAGCCTGAATGCACAACATCTGTGGAATGTTTGGGCCGTTTTCCGCTCAAGATCAGCGGACCAAAGCAGCAGTGTCGTTCTCTATCCGAAGACAGCTCGTGGGTCGTGGGAGGTGGGGTGGGTGTGCTTCCATGGCATTGCCCAGGTTGCCACCCGTGATGGCGACCTAAAAGTGATCTCGCAGCTTAGTTTAGACGCAGCTGCACAAGGGGCCTGCAATAGATGTCGATCGAGCGCCTCGCTGACTGGCTGATTGACGGAAGAACCACGAGCAGCACAGGTGAGATATTGCGCCACCAAGTATGCCTTGACAGTGGCCTGCTGTGACCTGGCCCCCTCTTCAGCGCTCAGAATCGCTATTTAAATCAGCATGCTTCAACGCACAATGTACAGGCTGTCCAAAAAAAAGAGGAAAAGAATCCACTGCCCTGGGGCGCAGCATGGGCTCCCTGTTTCCTACCAAGCAATCTCGCATTGTGTTGGCCCTGCTCCTTCGACAGCAGATCACACCAGCTCCTGCCCAAGAAAGACGGAAAAAGGGGTTGAAAGAGGGTTTGGGGCCCGCAGGGCTGCGACACTGACACTCGATGACGGCCGTCGCCAGTATCACACACACATGCCGCCTTCCCCAGGCACTGTCTACAACAACAGCCTTGCACGGCCCACCAACGCCGCTACCAGCTTTGTAGCACGCCTGCACAGCCGCAGCATCAACCCAGCCACAGGGCCTACAGACAACAAATCTGTGGCGACTACCCGGCAGGCCATAGTTGCCCTCGAGCCAATCATCATGACCAGTTTGCATCACGATGCACCAAACATGTTGCCGTCAAGCCGTAGCATGCGCTTCAGCATCGCTCGCTCGAACAGCTGTTCCCTTCCACCCCTCCTGTCTACCTTGATGCGGCCCCTGCTCTGTTCTTATTGTACGCTGGCCAAAGGCTCCCATCAAAGGCTGATCTTCCGCCAACAAGAGGGTGCAAACTGCTGTCAGGGAACCCAATCCCACCCCCTAATCTCCACCTTCGTCATCAGGGGAGTAAGCAGCACCCGCTTTAGTCATCAACGAGCTGCCTTCACCTACAGTAAAAATAAGCGATGAACACGGGAATTTCGTCTTCTTGTAGTCTGGCACATGGGCCACTTCCCACCCAAGGCTGTCAACGAATGTCAGAGTCCAGCCCAATTGTCAAGGCCATCAGGCTGCAATTTATGTTTGACTCCCATCTTCCTGCCCTTGGACATCGTTTGTTCCAGTCTGTTTCATTTGCGGGTCCGCACTCCTCACACCGCCTGCTCCAAAGCAACTCCCAAGGCGAATGCGAAACTGGTCCAGCACTTGGCAACACAGAAGCACAATCGCCCAGCAGCTCTGTATCAAGCAACCCCCCTGCCTCCTTCCACCACCTGTTGCAGCCTACTGAGTTCAATTACCTCCTTCTCACCGTCAAGGGACCTGGCATCTAACATCTAGGACATCGTCTCATGAAGCCACCCAGCTTTGCTCCCCGGAAAAGAGGCGCATATCTTGATCAACCACAGCACACTGGAACTCCTCAACACTGATCTTTCCATCTTTATTCGAGTCCATAGCCTCAAGCTGGGTCTCTATCTCTGCTTGCTCACAGCTGTTCTGGTCTCTGCCCAGACCCTTCACAACCAAACACAACAGGTTAGAGGCTGGCACATCAAGCGAAATGCAGCCAGTGCACAAGACCTGTCTTTTGTTTCTGTGCCCCACATCCCCTTGCGCAAGCCAGGAAGAGATCCTGAGGCTGTGGAATGAAATCCAGCTGGCAGCAACAACAAGTCTCACAATGCTGACCATTACAATGCTCAGCACACGATTTTTGGGGGTATGATGCTTGGCAGGGCTGTGGCCCCAACAAGTGGTTTTCTGACTATATTTCTTCCAATGCCTTTTCTTGGCCTATCTTCTTTGAAGTCTCAGATTGCCTTGCACTTCCTTGCGAGGCAGCAAACAGTCAGGAATGGTACCTGATCCCTCTCATGTGATGCACTGTTGTGGCTGAAAACCCAGGAGAACATGCAAGAGCAGGGACTTTCATCCAGCAGTTCTGTAATAACAACACATTCCCTATAGTAGGCCCCATGCCATGATAAAATGCTCACAATCCATGCCCACCTGACACAGTGCGTGCATGAGCTCCTCCTTCGGTATGAAGCCGCTGCCCGTGCGGTCCAACCTCAGGAAAGAGGTGCGTATCAGCTCCTCCTGGCGTTTGGGTGTGAGCGAGGGTATGGTTGCGGCCACGAATTCTGTCATGTCGATGTGCCCTGAGTCGTCCACATCGATGCCTCTGAACAGGCACCTCACTTCCTGGTCGCCTAGCTCAGGGTGCACCTGCTGGGTGGAAAAACACAACTTAAATATAATGATTGTGGCTTCAAATGAGATCAAACAACTGCATCCACAACCAGACTACTTCATGGCAGCATTCTGGCCACTCTGTTTTCAACTGGTCATAGTTATTTTCTACGTTTGCTGCATCAAGAGGTAGTCAACAAAATGGTCCTGCCTGATACTGGTGTCCTGGTCACTCAATTTGTTGTTTGCAGTCTTCTACATTCGCTGCAAGGTTTTCCTCTTCCACACTAGCAGCATCTGCAGTAAGATTCTGTTTTGCTGTTGTCACAGATACATAAGGCCATCTGCTGGCCTGACTTCAGTGAAGAATGAAACAACAGAATTGCCAAACATGAACAGCACACGAAATCGCCTTTAGCTTGGCCGGGACAGTGATTTGCCAACCAAAAGTGAATGCATCTGTACACTGCCCAGGCTAGTGCCCAGGGTTTAGGATAGTGCCTAGGGTTCCCAAGGGCAATGTCTTGTGGTGCAACGAGAACTGCATAGGGTTCCTGAGGCCAAGGCAGATGAGGCCACCGTCAGTTACATTCGTGCGGCACTGGGGCACCCTCAGAGACTCAAACACAATAGGTTCTGGGGAGCAGCAGCAGCTCCACATTGGTACACCCCTTGCTTGGCTTGATCTCCCAGACAATGTCCCATCCTGAACCCTGGCTATTGGCACACTGAGGTGGCCAGCCAAAATTCGACCAGGCATGACAATGAGTGGGGCATGCAATGGCCCCTCCCCTCATGGGCCCCATGCACCTCCCACCCCCCTGCTTTGTTTCCCTCTCAGCATGTGCTCCAGAGATACTCCTCATTTCTGTTTATAGTGTTTTGGCTTGGGCATTGGCTGTTTCAGTTCTTGCAGTCGCAGCGCACGGTGTCCTTGGAGCGAAAAGGCAGTTTTGTGGCCTTGTGCTCCTGTAAGCAGGGCTTGCATGCGACACACCTTACAACACCACCCCACCCACCCACCAACGCCAACTAACACAACAGGCGATGAAAGCCCGAAATTGGAACCCCACCCGCCCCCATCCCCTTCGCCCTTTACAACCGTTCCCACCTTCCGCAAGGTGGTACCTGAGCTACAATTCACATTTGAACACATAGCTTGGCTGGACAAAGCCATCAACATAGCTCATTAAAGGCGCCGATCTGCGGCACAAAACCCCAACAGCAACACCCAAATCACAGAGGTGCACCCCCTCAGGTGGCTCCACTGGCCTCCTGTGGCAACAAAATGACACCATGCAAAATGCAAAAAACAAAGCAGAAAACGACGCAACGCATTCTTGAGCGCTTGCACGAGAGGGAGTGGTGGTCTCGCAAACGGGTCTCAGCGCGCCCGCACCTTCTGCACCGCCAGCCGCAGCTCCTCGTAGTCCACTACCCCGTTGTTGTCCGCGTCCAGCTCGCTGAACATGCACATCTGGTCCGCCACCTCCGACCGCGGCAGGTTGCGCGCCACGGCCTCCAGCAGGATGCGGCAGGCGCGGCTGCGCTCCGTGAAGGTGCGCAGGGCCTGCACGGTGCGCGCG